GCATTAAAAGATAATCACAAAGAAGCAGAAATTCATTTCTATCTTCAGTTAGAATAAAGCCTTCAGGCTCTAAATCCTAACTCAGCTCACAGGAAGACATGAAATTCCATGCATTTTGGCAAACACTCATTATGAACAATATATCAGTATACTGAAGCTTTCCATTTAATGGAAACTGAAGCATGTAACCACTGATTTAGCATTCCTCTCATTGCTACTGTTGTTCAACATTGATATAGGTGATCAGATCACAAAGATTTCCAGGACAGTTATTAGGACCCCCACACAATGAACAGTGTTGTTGCATTTAAACCAGCAAATATCTGAACGAGTGACAGGAAGTGGCTCTTGTGTGGAAAATGCTGTACCCAGAAACTTAGAGCTGATATCATGCTGCAGCTATCATGCTGGGAAAATTATGAAATCACATCAGTGTTCTGGTTTAATGTTTTTTTGTTTTGCTTTGGTGTGATTTGCAGGTTGGGTTGGTTCTAATCAGATCTCCAAACTGTCTTGCCCAAAAACTCCTTCACTGCGTGTTTAAGCATGTTTTGTCATCTGGCCGCCGTCAGTGAGGCGGCAATGTCTCCCACACGGGAGCTTATAGAGAAGAGATTACAGAGTTTAAATGTAATTCTTCTGTGTGGATGTAATTGTGAAATTCTATTTTTTGTCTTTAAGTTTTTGCCAGTGATAAAATCTGTTGTCTGGTACAACTCTAAGTTCTGTTTTAATTATTCCTCAAAGATTTTTCAGCACTGTGCTTCAAGGCTCATCACCATGCAATCTCAGACTGCAGGCTCTGACACAAAACTGTCTGCATCTCACTAATCTCTGACTGATTGGGTGCAAGCCCTTCTTCAGACACAAAATAACTGCAGATACACAACTTCCAAGTACTGGTCACCTGACAGATTAGGTGATTACACTATGGTGAACCAAAAAGAAAAAGATATTTATTAAAAAAGAGAATAAAACTGTATACTGGATCCTGTAAATGTAACGTTTATAAAAAATACTTATTAACATTTACGTTAATTAATATTTTCTTAACCACCCACTATACCATATCATTGGGTAAATAAACCATCATACTTTTATGTTGAATGGTAATTGACTGTATTTATATTGTACCTTTCCAACCATTCAAAAGCACTTTGTGCATGTCACACTCAGCCACATTCATACACTGATGGCAATGGCTACCATGCAAGGTGCCAACTGCTCATCAGAAAGAAACTAATGCTTAGTTTTTTACCCAAGGACACTTCAACATGCAGGGTGGGAAAGCCAGGGTTCAAAATGTCTATCTCCCGATAAGTGGGTGAAATGCTGTACCTCTTAGCTGCGGCTTAGAGAGTCACTATCAAAATGACAGCAAGTCCTCATTTAATTTTTTGGGAGCCAGTGTGTCCAAGGTGTAGATCCAAAATGCTTCCCTGGAGTTAATAATCTTTTCCCGTTAAACTTAAACTTGTGCCTGCAGGACTTTTGTTCTATTATGTTAGGGTTACAGTTGACAGTTGACCCTTATCACAGTATCTCTCATAATAAGTGCTGATACTCTAACTTCTTAGTATTGTATAGTTTAAACCTAGATGCACTATACAGACCACGCATATGTGCATGTCTGTCCCAGACTATTTCAGGGGTTTTCAAAGTCTGAGACTGTGGGATCCCCTCAGACAAAGCTTGGAAAAAGGCACAACATTTACATAACTTCAGATTACACCAAATGCATAAATAAAAATCTGTCCGAAGGCATTTATTTATTTCTGACTTTCTGAAAGTAGGAAGGACAGTTTCCCAAAACTAATGTATCTCTGAACTTTCTTTTTAGCCAGATCACACACAGGCTATCCTATGTGATCTCCTTTTGATAACTAATAACTAAGAAATATATTTTAACTTCCATTCACTGAGCCTCCACTGAAACAGTAGAAGCCCTCTGTGGAGGCCCTACTCCCCCTTTGAAAACCTCTGCTTTATTGCATAATGATATTATTAACGTCTAATTTAAAACAGGAGACATCCTGGTGCAGCCATTAGCCCAGCGATTAGTCATTAGTCCATGTACACCACAGAAGCTCACACAGTTGTCTGAGGTGCCTGTGTGTCTTTACTGCAATATCACACATAGCACAACCTATTGTAATCCAGCATACATATACTGTGTGTACTGTGTCTATATGACGTGTTTAGATGCACATTTTATACACTTGACTGTCATGTTTAAGTGTCTGTAATATTTGTTTATATTTACCAACATTCTCTGAATAGCCATGATGATTCATGCAGTTGTGAGAAGATGTGAGCAGACGTTGGTGAAGTCAGAAACAACTTATTAGCCTACCAACCAAAAGGTGGAGCTATGGAGCACATCCTCATGTGGTCTGACACACTTCGGGCTTCAACTGTCACTGCTAATGTGTCAGTTTGGCTGTTTATCTAGGTTATTTGATCAGCTTCTTTAATGTGCTGCTGTGAAACATCTTGTAGCGCCCTAACAACTCTGTGTGCTGCATACATCAACTTTGTGGGAGCAAAAGCAAAAGCTAGTCTTTGTATAAAAAATCTCAAAATGTCAGTTTAAGGAGTAACACAAAAAGTGTATGTTTGTGCAATATATTTATGTTAATGGCAGGGAAAGTGAGCCTGCCTATGGAGCTTCTTTCCATCCTCCTCTCTTCTCCTACCTATAGGACGGCAATGCAGCTTGAAGCCAGCAGCATTGTGAAATATGGGGTATGCAATTCTGGAGAAATCCAATTTCATGACTTACTTAGTGTTACCAAAAAAATTACAAAAATAGAGGATTATATATATAAAATAACTTAAAAACTTAGAAAAATCTAGATGTGGAGTTGTTTTCATTTCTTTAGGTCACTGTCACATTTTGCACTGAGCTCAAGACTGCCATCAAAGCCATCCTGGTGCTATAAGGAGGAAGAGGTGGAGGAGGCAGAGGCTGTCTCATGGCTGCATTGCAGTGCTTCAGCTAAAGCCATTCACTTGCAGAAGCCTGCTGCACTTGAAAATTCATCTCCTGTGCATAATTTTGCACTTTTGATCGCTATTTGCCAGCAGTAATTCTGTCGCTCAATCAGAACTCAATCAGCATTGTCACAGTGAGGGAACCTGTTCTTTTGCTGTGATAAGCGGTGGCTGATACATAATTCAACAATAATCCCCGGCCTGTTGGAGCAAAGTTTTGTTCAGGTTCTCTTGCTCAAATCTGGGGGAAACACAAATTGATAGGAAAGCTAGTTTTACATTAGAAGTTTTAATGTTACTAAAGGCAAATTGATTATGTTTATCTAAAAATACATCCAGATATTCTTCTGTGCCTTTTGCAATGAAGCTAGGGGGCAAGGAGGAAAGAGATTCAAATTTTATCTCTGACAAAGCATAATAAAAATGAGATGAAACAGATCGGATGAAAGGATGGGATGAGCTTGAATGATGCCCAAGGGATACATACATACACAAATGTGATAGAGTATTTAAATATGGATGAAGAATACACAAATTATGTTCTGTACAAAAGGCATACAGGTGCAGGTGCTATCCCCATAATAATTTTGGATATAGATTGCAGGTGACATGTAGCTGGGTGTGTGAGGAGGAGAAAGGAAGTCACTAAGAGAAAAGGAGAAAACAAATCTCAAAATAACAGAATGTGCTCTGCTGCAAATTACGTTTTTATAATCAGAGATTCACCAGGATTTTGCAGGCAGATTTTTTTTTTCATCTTGATGCAAAATACATCCAGATAAATTCCCGTGTTTTCCCTGAGCTCCAAACAGAATTCTTAGAATTGTTGACAAAATATTGAGTAACCATAACCCTTCAATAACCCTTCCAGGCAAGAGTTGTTGTATTTCACATTTGCTTTGGTAATGTAAACATCAGCCTCCCATGCCAATAAAGCCCCACTGAATTGAGGTACAGTGGGATATTGTTTCAGTTGTATGAAGGAAATCAATTTTGTTACACAGCCTCATTTGACTTCTTTCTCTATTTTGGTGTAGTAAAATATTTTTATTATTTCTTTTGGATCCTAAATTTTTATTTATGTGTCTTTATTTTGTGCTTAGTTTCACTTCAGTAACAGGTCCATCTAAGTTTATTTCACTCATTACATTTATGATAAAGGTGGATTGTTGCTTTGATGGCTGCCATATTTAACCACATTCCTTCCCAGACACAGAGAAACAAATTACAAGGAAACTTATACACTTAAATGGCTCAGAAAATTACAGCAATTGAAGTATGCTGTTCTTACCTACTGTGACCAAACACAGCCTCACAGATTTCAGGTTTTGAACATTATTATTATTTAAAAGAGCTACAAAGTAAACTCAAGTTCTTATGTTTACTACTCTAAAAACTGTCAAACCACGATTACATTTATTACACAGGTTGTTTTCACATTCTTACCTGATGATATGAGTTTAAAAATGAATAAATCATATCAAAATAACTTTTTAGTTCTGTTTAGTATGTTTTTCCAGATATGTAGATGTTCTTGGTTGTTTGATTTTGACAGTTTATTATGACCCCTATGTGTTTTGCCAGTCTTCATTTAAATTATTTAGGCTCCCTCCTTTATGTTCGTTTGATTGATCAATTGTCTGGAAGACCTTTGTTGGTCAAAATATTGCTAATAAAACCTTAAAATCAATAAATTATAGACAGCCATTCACTGTCCTTTCCTTCCTGTCACACTCCAGACAGGTGCAGTAAAACTGTGATTGGTCTTACAGCTGGATGGGTAAAGATGAGAAGCTTGCATCATTTGACAAAACTTTTAGACTGGTTCATCGGGAGATGGCAGACAGAAAGAATCATCATCCATCATTTTCATCACCATTTCATCAGCATCACCAAGAGAATGTAAACTGTGTTTCTGTGTCAAAATATCCACTATATTCCCATTAATATAATTAAGGCAAATAAAATTTTTGCAAGATATGAATCAAAGAGACAGATTCTTCCAGTTTGTGTGCAAATGTTTCTCTTTGTTTACTCACAAGTCCATCACCTTGAATAAAACAGGATATACATAAATAATCCCTGAGGGGCCACTGAGGCCACTGTACAGGCATGTGTACTGTATTTGTCATCATGCTCATGTTGCACATTGAATTTTGTCTTCATGCACGCTGTTCATAAAATTAAATGAACCCTCGGATGGATGGATTTCACAGAGTACTGTATGTTTTCAAATGCAGTGCAATGTTTACAGTTTACAAAGGATTTAATAAAAGACAATGGAAACACAACATGCATTTTACAAAGTTATTGCAACCCCCATAGCATTCACAAAACCACACACACCTCACAACTACTACTTAATACATCTGTAACATTGGTTGACAGCATTTGGATTTATCACTTCGGGCTGAGGGCAGACTAAAAGACAGGTTGAAAGTTGTTTTTTAAAATCCTGTTATAAAGGTCTGTAGCATTTATTCACATAAAATATATTCTCTTTTCAATGGTACAGATCAGTGCATCTGTATTCAATAAAACAAACAAAACAAAATGTAAACAGTGTTTGCTTAATACATTTTCTAAAGTAAACACAAAAAAAGACCAAGGATACAAATATAAACATCCCCGGTAAAATGTGACCCTTGTAGGCGATGTGTTATGCTAACACAGTTCTCCTACTTGTTCTTGTGTATGAGATGTCCCACTCTTTGAATGAATTTCTCCAGCTTATTTTCATTGTGCCCTCGCGCGGCCCGGGTGAGGTTGTGTTCAATAGCTGCCTCACCTTTAGGAAGGGTTTTAGCTTTCTCCTGAGTGTGTGTGGTTTGAAAACTGTGTGCAGAACGCAGAGCAGGTTTCTTTTCCAGTGAGCAGAAAGGCTCAAATCTGCTGTACAGGCGAGTCTCACCACCTCGATCTTTGCTCCTGCTTCCTGTGTCAAGACCGGTCTTCACGCTTTTGTGAAGTATGCTGGGTTTCATCTGCATGGTAATTTTGGGGGGCGAGCTCTGCTGCAGATATTGCTGCTCGTCACTTCTGAATCGAGGTTTGGAAGATTTCAGATGGTCCTCCTCTAGCTGGGTCCTCTGGTGCTCGGAGGAGGACCTGGCAGAGTTTGTTGTACTTTGGTGAACTCGTCCATCTGAGATGCCCTCCTCATCCTCAGCTGTTAAGGTGTCTGTACTGCCACCTGACTGCAGACTTGGTGTGCCCATAGTTCTGATTGAATCCTCTTTTTTATCTGGTATGTTCAAAAAGGATTTTATCTTCTTGGAACTCTTATGTAGAAAATGCTGGGAGCCCATGCTCTTGGATTTAGTTGTCAAATCCAGAGCTGCTGCAGAAACAGTCCTGGATGGCGGCTCCTGCCAATCAGTAGAAGTAGGGCTCCTTGAGGCTGCGATACTCTTGACATCATAATGAGAGATAGATCTCTGATCTTCATTCAAATTTGAGCCAAATCCTCCATTTTGTGCATTGATCCCTGGTGAGCTTCTATTTACTTGCATCTTTGCAAAAGCTCCATACATGTGACCTGAGGATTCCTGTGTGTACTCAGTGTTTGATCTTGGATCTGCCACGCTATGCCTTTTGTGCCAACTGTCTGTCAGGTTGTCAGGGTTTGCGATAATGTGTCCACCTTTAGCTCTTCCTAGGCTAGCGTACACAGAGTGGTAAGAGTTTCTGCCTGGACCATAGCTTGTGTTATTCCAACTGTCATCCAAAATCTGCATACTTTGCCTCTTTAACATGAACTCTTCATTATTCATTCTGTTATCAGCTGCTGCTGCTGTCGGATTCCACTGCATGGATGAGTAGTGCAAACGAGTGTTTGGTGTTGCTGAGGAATTAACAGAGTGGTGTATCGGCCTATTTGGCTCCGTGTGCTCTGGTATGGTGGACCTGAAAACAAGGGAAGACCTCATTCTTCCTTGCATGAAGGAGCTAGCTTTGTCCAGAGGTTCAAACTGGTCTAAATAGTCACAAGAGTCTCCGAATGGGACGTCAGGGTTATTGAGGTAAGACTCAATCCTCAATGTGCGCATGAATGCCTTGGATGTATTTTCCAGTGTTGGCATGTTCTGCTGCATGGACTGAACCTGTTTGTCGTTGTCATTGTAAGACTGACGCATGTTTTGTCCTCTGTGTATCTGTGGCACTTGTAAATAATTGTCCACAGGGTAGTTATTTGTCCCATTACCTGTTTGTCTAGAGATATTCCAGTTGCTCGCTCTGGGCCTGATATTCTGTGGCATACATTCATCTTGTCTCTCTCCAGCATAGCTGTGCCTTTTCAAGAAGTTCATCGTCTCTGTGGACTGAAGTTGGGGCATCTGGTTGTGAGCGCTGATCCCATTTTCAATCAAAGGCCCATGCATGTTAGGTTCCTTTTCAAAGAGCCTCTCTTCGAGGTCTCTTGTGCCTAGTTGTCTCTCAAAGGTCTTCCTATAGACTGTGTCCAGTGTATGCCTCAACTGGTCCCGCCGCTCAATTTTCTGGGCAGAATGAGAATTTGGCAAAATCTGTCCATTGTGTTGCAACAAACCCTCGGGGGGGCAAAGTTCAGCTGGCACACTTGACCGGGCGTATAGTGTTCGAAACTCCTCATCGTAGGACTTCACCAGATGGCCTGTGATGACCTGCACCATGCTCAGATTGATCTTCTCAAATGACCAAGTGAAGCTGTAAACAAACCCCAAAACATTAGTATGTATAGGTTGAATGTTGAAAAAACTGACAACTGATAACAATAGTTTTTCCTTATGTACTGGGGTTAAATTGAACTTGTTATCCATTTCGGACAAAAAACTAACACCACAAAGCAACAACAAAATAATTATTTCAATCTAAGGGCGATTTTTTTGTAAAGAGCTGTTTTGTTTGTACTAAAATTATTGTTTTCTTTCCTGTTGCCACATTTTCTAGAAGCATGTCTTTTTTTGTCATTGATAAATGGGTTAAAATGTAGTCCCAAACTGCCACAAACGAATCAGTAAGAAATGATTACAGCAATTTTGTAGAAAGTGACAGTAAATGTAGTGATGTGCTTTATGAATGCATTTAGTTCACACCTCAGTCGTCTCAACCACAGCTCCTCTTGTACTGCAGTTCTATTTACCTGTATGAGCCATAAATGGCTGTGTGGCAGTCGACTAAAAGAAACTTCTGCTCCATTGCCCCATGAAATTTAGCACCCGATCGACACAGGTAATCCTGACCTTTCACAGTGCGCACCCTCATATTCTGTGATCGGAGCAGTGAAAGGAAAATGTCAGAAAATATGTATCACTGTTACATTTCAGCAGAAGCTAATATATGTCAATCATCAAGTAAACATCTATGAATAAGAGATGTGTGGTGCAGATAAACATCATTCTGAATATTTGAAATACTGTACTTGATGTTGTGTTGTTGCTACCATGTACGCACAATATGCACTGAAAGGAATGGGAATTAAAAGGGTGTGTTTGCATCTTTAGCATGTGCCCAAATAATTAAAAGTGACTCCACCCAAAAAACCAGAGAAACCAGAATTTGAAATAAGACACTCTGGTACAGTGTATTGAAAATGACTAATAGTCATATGAATCCATCATCAACCACTTATCCTGTGTACAGGGTCGCTGGGGGCTGGAGCCACTCCCAGCTGACATCGGGCAAAGGCGGGGTACACCCTGGACAGGTTGCCAGTCCATCACAGGGCTGCACAGACAAACAACCACTCATGCCTAATGGCAAGTTTAGAGACCAATTAACCTAACCTAAGTCTTTGGACAGCAGGAGGAGCACAGGGAGAACATGCAAACTACACACAGAAAGGCAGGGGCAACCAGGGTTTGAACCCACGACCTTCTGGCTGTGAGGCAACAGAGCTAACCACCACCCTCATTTGAGTGTATGTAGGCCTTATTGTAGGGTCAAAACTCAAAATTCTGTGTGCCATTCGCAAATGTTCAAATCTTCTGATGCTAGGGGATTCATTAAAAACCAACGACAACCACAGACACAAATAATTTAGTTATAACATTTAACTAAATATTAGTTTAGAAAATGTGTAACTGTCATGTATGTTAGAATCAATAAAAAAAATTAGAAAATCTAATGGATGTTTTAAATCATATACTTACTCTGAGTTGTTGAATTTTTACATCCTGATTTTCAGCCATTGTGAGGAAGCTTTTCAAATGGAAATTATCCAACAGCACGTAGACCGCGACTCCTCGTATGGATGCATCAACAATTTCTTTGAATATGTCGACATCAGTGAACATGTCCATCACAATGGCAATGACCTGCGAGGACAAAGTGATCAAATCCTTATAAGTTCAGTGGTTATAGTGCATTTTACCAGTGCCAGTTTACACTTTTTCACACAGCATTTATGAAAATGAATGGTAAATGTGAGTCTGACAGATAAAACCAGACAGATAAATATCTCCAACATTCCTATTTAAAAAACAACAACAACAAAAACAGGACACAGACTAAGCATATGCAGTGAAAGTTGCCAATATGATTTTACTTTTAGTTTTACTTTAGGCTCAGTGATACTGCACGGAATTAAGTGCATCACTGTAATGGGCAGTGCTGAATGTTACGAGCAGCAACATTATACTGTGTTCCAGTAGCATATGATGAGCTCTCGTCTGACTATATTGCACGCTGTTTGCATTTTGTTTTCTGTGAAAATATGTCTTTTCTTCAGAACTAACAGTGTCATCCATGTTTGCCACGTCCAACAAATGCTTACATGTAAATAAATATTATCGAAAAATTGCTCTTTTGACAGACATGAAACATTCCAGCTGTCACGTCCCAAGACACATTTATCTGCATTAAACTTTAATTAATTAACTTTACACTGCACTGGTTGGAATTATGAGGAAGAGAGAAAGAATTTCATCACCTGTAAAAAAAGAGACCAGACCTTACTCTTTCTCTCGTCTTTTGCCACGTTTGTTGGCTTAATTGGAGCCAGTACAGCATTCACAAGGTTTTAACGTAGACCAGCAGGACACTAACTGTCTGCTAACTGCAATTTTGAGCTACAAAACTAGTTTATGATTCATTATGACACAATATGAGAACCAACTGAGGCATTGGGCAAAGGACATGACTCAATAATGTAGTGCTAGTACATGTATATGGTTCCCACACAGCCTTCTCATGAGGGTAAGTTGCAAAACCAGATTTTGACCCCGACAACCTCAGCAGACACTCCTTACCACTGGCAATTGAGTGCAACAAGGTCTGAGGAACTGCCTTGAGGGGGAATGGTGCTTATGACATATATCAGAGGAGCACAGTCCTCAAACTGAACACACCAGAGTACATCTCAGCCGATTTGTTGCTCTGAGACAAAGCTTTATCTGTCTGAACACCGGCACACTGTCACAAGCAGTTTTGATTACCTGTCTAGCTTGCTGAATTTGCTTTCGGATCACCTCTTTGATGGTGGGGTTGTTTAGTCTCGGTGGATGAAAGAGCAGATCTATATTTGTCTGTAGTTTTTCATGCATGATCTCCGGCCACCCCAATTCCAAATCTGGTGTGTCCACATCTGAGTGGATGGGCCAATACGTCCCTGAGGATGATTGATTGTCCTGTGGACAGTCAGGTCCATTGATTTCCTCTGCATTGTTTTGATGTGGGAGCTTTTCTGCGTTCTCAGTGATGAAGACAAGCTCTTCCTCTGAGAGGAAGTTCCCGATACGTTCTCCCTTGAGGAACTCCAGGTAACTGTCTCTGCCACCAGTCACCAGGTGATCAACTGCCAAGCGATATGACTCCTTATAGTGGGGTTGGATGTAATCCTCTGATTTAAACTCCCCCCTCAAAGAAGACAGCAGGGAAAACTCCGGAGACTCCATCAATACAGACTGTTTCAGTAGGACCTGTCATAGATAATGGAAATCAATGACATGGTGTAAGAGGATCAGAGAACAAACATTAGAACAGGGTGGAAAATGCTCTAAGACTGTCTCTTGATAAGCGCCATGATGCAACACATAGTCTAATGTAGAACACGGAAAGCTCATATATTTAGACTCTGTGTAACATAGATTACAATACGCAAATATATAAAGATAAAATGCCAACAGCTGCAATAATCATTAAAGTACTGGTTTTCATGGTATGTATTAACTAAATTTGTCTTACACGTTGTTAGACTTTGGAACAAGCTGAACACATTCCTGAGAAACAAAACAGGAACTTAGTGCTGATTAATAAATAGCCAACTAGCCGCAAACTTGAGAACATGACAAAATATTGACCACATTCTTAATGTATTGGTTGGTTACCTCTTAAATTGGCTGATAAATTGCACAAAATCAAAATAAAACAGTTGATTCATGAACTACTTGTTAATAAGCAGTTAGCTGATTAGTTGTTTACTTGTTCCTTTTAGCCGTAGCAGTGAAGAGGCCTATATTTTACTGTATGTTACCAAAGACACAGCAAAGCATACACTTTATTTCCATCTATAAGACTTTCTCTAACAGCATTTAAAGTACGTATATATATATATATATATATGCAAATGTACCAACAAGCCACTCATAAAAACTGACTCATCAGTATCAGATGCTGAACCCGTTTACAGTCAGGACTTACAGTAATGGGTGATTAGCAGTACATTGCCAGATGGAAAATATTATAACTGCAGCTGTAGTGCACTTCCAAGCTAAGGTGGGGTAAAATAAAACCATTAAAAGTAAATGTTTGTGAAGGAGGAAACAGGCTCATGTTTCAGTCCAGTGTTTTCAGTCATTGCATTATTGTGTGATAAAGTTCAATTTTAGTAATATTGTGACACAGTGACACCACTGACGTTTCCACAACAACAGTGTGACATTTTACAAGCCAGCCGTTTCACCTTTCACAAGCTTTTAAAATGAATTTTTCCAAGTAATCTTCCACATTCTGCAAACCCATGCAAACATGCACTTACAAGAAGTATTTATGTTCTGAACTATAATTCATAGACCAAGTAAAACAATTTTTTTTTACCAGACTTCCAAGCACATCACAACCTTGTACAAACAGCATCTCTATTTACACTTTTTATCACAAATCTCCCGCTGTTCGGAGAATTTAAAACTTAGGCATTTTATAATCTTACAGAGCCACTGCTTCTTGTTGAACTCTTCTTAGAAGTTTCAAAAACACAGTGAGCTAGTCACAACAACATTTTCTTATGCTCAACAACAGTAACTTACATTTAGATTGTGAACTTTGTAAAAATCCTCACGATTGCTCCCAGAATATCCCTCTTGGAATTATGTATGTTCAGCTTCTGTTCAATATTGTATGTATCTGGAGAAGCTAGTTTTTCCCAGCTGGAAGAAACAAAGACAAGGAGGCGTCTCAACACGATAAGCAGTCTGCAGGCGGAGGGTGTGGATTCTAGTTTTAACATGCAAAATGTCTGGTTTGAAACTTGCTCACGGGCAGCCATAAACCTGTTTGAGACACTTAGCCACTCCCCTCTTTGCTTCAGGGACAAAGTTCACTCTGACGAAAAGCAAGATAATGACGGACACAAAGAGGCTTTGATGAACACTTCAGGGTTAGTTGCACTGGACCTCATCAAAGTGTTCTGTCCAGTGAAAAATACACAAACTGAGAGAATAATTCATGGTTTTAGTTCATTGTTTACTTGCTTTGTATTCCTTGAAATGTATCGGGGGGCCAGGGGACCAAAGTGGTTTATAAGTTCAAGTGACAAATTTGTGATTCATGCAGAAATTTCTCAAGAGAGGATACCCATGAACTCAAATTAACCTAAATAAACCAGAGGTCAGTAGCCACTGTCATTTTTCCTCAGTTGTGGCTGAAACTACAAGGATGGAGCAGTCCAAACTGTGGTGGCAACACAGCTGTTGTATCTGTATGGAGCAAACAAGTCCTTCTGATTTCCATGTAAATGCAGGAAAGACCCTGACATTTGACATGAAGCAATGTTGGAGATATTGATTGTAGGTAGTTTTCTTCCATTTACCTATCCTTAAGTGAAAGTTGCTCTGTAACTCTTGTTTAAAGAAAGGTGTAAATGAATAAAACACATGTATTCATATTGGTTACATTTATCATTCTTCACCCCGTCTGGTGAAGTTCTCACCAAGTCTCTTGAGAAAATTGCTCATTATGTAACATCTGTATTCTTATGGGGAAAGCTGCAATCACCCAAGTCATTTCACCGGAACTAAACAAACATTCCCTTGAAGGCTAAAGGCACAAACTGCGTCAGTGTGATCTTTTTCAATGGCTGAGTCAAACAGTGGCTCACTTAACAACATTCAAAGCAATTAAAATGATATGCATATTTGTTGAAAAAAGATTTTTGAGTAAAATTAAGTTAAATATTTTTCAGTGCCTTTCCCTGAACAAAATAAATCTTACTTTAATTGCTAATTCGTTTGCGACTCAAATTAAATTAATCGAACATTTATTGAACATTTCATGTCTTCAGGACATATTTTATGTTCATGTCTTTGCAAATACATTTGTGTGAAGATCAGTTTGTTTTGGACAGATTCAATTAATAGTTTAGTAACATATTTGTCACTTAGGCCTATATATTATGATGTGTTTGCGTTTTTCTCAATTCAACTCCCAAAATCAATCATGTTGCAGCTTCAAAAGTGTTAATCAGACAAGGCACCAGTGCAACAGGAATGTTTCTCCCCTCCAGTGGTGGAGAAACCTTTGGATATTAGCCAGCTTCAGTGAATCTCCACAATCAGCCCAAAGCATTTCTCAGGTCATTCTAGGTTTGTATGTAAACCTTGAGGCTCCAAATAACATTTGGCTAAATTACACCATACACAGATTCTCCTTCCACAGGCTGTAGCATACACACTGACCTCAGCACCAAATGCATGGGCATGCAAATGCACAGGTTGTTATGTTTTCACAAAGCGAATCTGCTGTCAGTTTAATCATTAGGTTACTCAAAGGAACACTTTGACATTTTGTGAAATACGTTTATTCATATTCTTGCCGGGTGTTCTGTAAGAAGATCGATTCCTCTCATTTCTGTACGAGTATAACACAACAGCCAGCAGCTGTTTCTTAGAGGATCATAGACTGGATTCCAGCAGTAATGGCTGGCGGCCTCATACCAACCACGTGCGCGATGTCTATCTCATCTAAATTCCTACAAGAAAGCCAATTAGCCATTTCCCCCAAATGTCAAACTACTTTTTCAAGCCGCTCAATGATCTCTCAAAAACGATCATAACAGTGTTACGTGTGGTGTGGGGACAGAGGACCCAAATGCAACGTTCAGAGGGAAGGAGGTTTGAGGGAAAAAGGGGTAGAGGGACTGGAGTGGAGGGAGAGGTGGATGCCGGGGAAACATAGGTACGGGGAACCGAGGAGACTGGGACCAGGGAGCCGGGAAACACTGGGGCCGAGGAAGCGAGGAGGCGAGGGAGAACGGGGAGGATGCCGTGGGGGAAGTCCGAGGAGGAGAGGACCGGTGGTTGAACCCAGCCGACTGAACGGAGGACGAGGGTGAGTGAACCTGGGAGGGAAACAAACAGAGAGACAGGGTTAGAGATAACAGGGACAAAGCACAGGGAAAATGTGAGAAAACAAGAAACATGAAAGCCTGAACTCAGAGGTGGCACCGGGTATGGAACGACGATCAAGCAAGAGTGGTGTGGAGAACCGGGGTTGAAATACAGGCAGGGATGAGGTTGATTACTGGCAGGTGTGGCAGGCTGACGAGGTGGCTGATGAGGTGCAGGTGTGGGTCGTTGGCTGGGCTCAGGAGCAGAGGGAGGGCACATAGGGGAGAAAACACAGGGAGGCAGGCAGGGAACAGAAACACAACAAACAGGCTTTCTGTTTTTAATTTACCTGCACAAAGTGCTAAATCAGAGCAGATACTGATTAGACAGAACATGTTTTTCAGTCATAAACTCAATCATATTTGTTGAAAGACAATTAATACATAATCAAATCACTTGGATTTTATCAATAATTAAATCCATAGCAACTTAATTAAATGAATGTAATATAAAAGTTAATTTCTTCTTTTCCTGCCCATTATTTTGTATCATATGCACATCAGTGAGATAAAGGAAATTAAAAATGTCATTGTAATAATGCGTAATAAAAATCACATAATAATTCAGTTGAATCAATAATAGATAAAATATTTGCTGTTATCTAATTATGCTATTCTGTTTTGTCCCACTTTCCTCCAAATGACTCAAGGACTCGAACTATGTCAATGCAATCATGATATTCTATCGTACAGTGTGTGATATGTGTAACCTGGGTATGTAAACACTCTGTTGCTTTATTCTGACCAAAACACCTCTGGTAGTTCCACAGAGCTTCCCATGAAAAGAAGAACAAGATATCTGCACCATTGTTTGCTGCCTTGAATATGGGTGTGTGTAGATTAAGTAACTTATACACTAAGTCCCAGGGAGTTTCTTTTCCCAAAGCAGCCTCCCTGTGAGTCACCTTTTGTGATACCCAATCGCTGCTCAGTGCAGTCATCAGATCCTCAGGCTGTTCTTGGCTACTGCTGGCAAGTCTGAGCATGTGGCATGCTGTTGTGTCATCCTGACGAGCTAAAGGTTGACATTAAATACTAAGGGGATGGATCAATCTCACATACATTGTCATACCAACATAGCTTTGAGTTCAAGCTCTTAGTGTATTTACTATAATTTGAGAAATATCCCACAGAGATTGAGTAACAGACTGAGTAGACAAAGAATTATAACGTTTACGTTTCACGTTTCAGCACCTTCATCATTTAAATCAACACTCTACATGATGATGATAATGTTAATGTAAGCGACTTAATAGCATGTTCACATAAAAGTAAAATCACTCCAAGGTGTCAGCTGATGCAAATTGCAGGTTTTCTGTAAATGCTAGACATGAATCTCTCCATTGAGGCACACACATTTTGACACAGGAAGGAGAGTTGTTTAACCAGTTTTTTACAGATGGTTGATAGCACCTTGTTTACTGTTTGGTTTATATCACAAGGAAGATTTTGTTCTGTAGAACAAGGGAAGGTAATATATGTGGTGAGGCCACAGCCATCAAATACTACTGCAATGCAAACCACAGCAATCACTTGCCACTTCCACAAAATAAATTTACATAAACAATATGTCCAAGCAAACAGAGGTCCAGTGTATCTTTAAAAAACTATAACACTGCTTCACCAATTCCTCAACAGAAAATGTAATAATTGGGCATTCATGTGGTGTCGGAATAATTGGGGAAATGATTTCCTGACTGGGAATGTTCACGGGAACACCCACTTGAAGTCGGAATAACAACTCGGAAAGTCTGAGAATGTTTTTATTTGGAGTTGTTCACGTCATACATGTACAAACATGGCAGACAACGTGGTTGATGGTTAGAAACGTTTGATTAATGGTGTAAATCACGTATTGCATATACAGTTTTTACTAATGTCATTTGTAAAATGGTGCTAGGTTATAACTGTTAGTTTGCTATCCATGTAGAGTTACCTAGATTAATTAGGAAAGTTATTAGCAGTAACAGCACACACTTCACTACAAAACACATTCCCTGAGATAACTTCCTGGATTAAAGTACTTATTTTAAACCAAACCATGGTCATTTCCTAAACTTTATCAAGTAGTTTTGGTGCCTAAACTAAACCTAACTACGGCCGTTAGCGAGCGTGTCATGTAGTACTATGGACCCATATATAGATCTACTTGGCATTTACTGACCAACAGCAGCGCGCTTAATGTTAGCCCCAGTGATTGCACACAGCCTTACAGTAAAGCTCAACCCCTCCGACTGTGAACAAAGAGGTGATTCCTGAATCTAGGTTTACCAGTGGGGCAAGCCAGCTGAACGCATGTAAATAAGACCTTTGGAGTTGCATTTCACCTCTTTTGGAAGAGGTTATCAGCACACCCCTGCGCCAAGCTAGCAAACTCCCGGTAAGACAACAAGCATAGCCCATAAATGTTTAAGTAACGGAACATTGCTAAATGTAATGTAATTACTGAATATCAAAATTTACACCCGTTTTTAAGTTGTGCATTATTGCAACACTATAGTTTATACAGCAAATGTGAGCAAAGTGTGGCACCGCTTTAGCCTGGTGCCAGACCTTATAAGAAAGTAAAGTATTATCAATGATACTTTATACTTATGTACTTATATACTTACTTTATGATTATTTATCATGAAGTATTATAGTTTAGTTCATGAAAATGATATCTAACGTATGTTGCTGCTAATATTGTATACCAACCATCCACACTCCTCGAAAGGTTTTTCTAGATCTAAATGGGCACCATGTTTTCCTTCTATGTAGGACCCTGACCCTGAAATTAGAGAATGAGAGACTTAATTCTATAGATGTCTGACACGGTCGA